GCCTCGCTATTGCCGGTTTGCATGCTCTTTTCTGATGAAACCTGTGAGCTCCTGTGAAGCTGGCAAGCTCGTCGAGACACTCTGGTAGGTCCTGTTAACTGTTGTAAGCTCATGAAATACCTCTCCAGATCCAAACTCGACACGTTGATAAGAATTAGCAAAACTGCAATATGCCCCCCCCCCTCAAACTCGCCAAACTGCGCCTTGAGATTCGACTGAATGTGGGACCCTCTGTTGTGTACTTTGAACGCCTTCATCTGATTTCTTCCGAAGACTTAACTGACATCTTCTAGTTCATATCGGGAGTCAATACACATGTGATGTACAGTCATGGAATGCGCCTCCAAGGGGATCCACCCTGAAGGGGAGTCAACCATTGCTTTGCTACCAGGGCTGCTCTCATTCCTCAGATTATACAGCCTTCTCCCTTTTGTGGCAGCAGTTTACTATCGATAAACCTGGTCACTATACCAGCAGGCTGACAGATCCAGTTCAGTTGCCCAGCTGTTCTGCACTTCCTCAGGTGCACGGCAACATAATTTCAGGTGATAGGATGATGATGGGTAAGCCACAAATAACAACAAAGCATCGGAGACCTTGTGACATGGCTGATAGCCCATTGCCCGTGAACCACGTGGGAAGTGCAATAGTAGTCATGAGATTGTACACGTGGTTATCTACACCTGTTGGAAAAAAGTGGACTGAAAGAATCTTGAATTACCGTTGTTTCGGTGAGTTCCTCTTGCAGCATACTCGATCTGAAAATATCAGCTTGTAGATTTTGATTGAAACTAAGATACCTATTTGCTCCGAGAAGGCCAGTTACTTGACGAGAACGAGTGAGTGGGAAGGAATGGTGCAAGAGAGCGTCACAGAATGGTAAAGCCTGTCAGAATTACAAGGAGAAAGGTTTTTTGGAAGAGGACCATAAATTCTTGTTCGTGGTGAGCGCTGGGGCCTGTCAGGGGGTGTATCTGCTGCGGCCCATTTTTCACCAATTGTAGTCGCCTGCCCATCTTAACAGCTCGTGGAATACGGACTGTCGTCGCGCCAAACCCAGCCTCCCCCTCCCTCGCTTGAAACGCCTTCGTATCTCTAGCGAACAAGTCTCCACGTAAGTCTCTTTCACATTTTTCTTCATGAAAACGGCTCCATCACAGTTCGCGACACGAAAATCACAGAACGCTTTGCTCGGATAGGGTAGAAGGTAGCCCTGATAGTACAATGCCCGTAATGCTATGCATGTATGCCTTTTATGCGTGACAACCACGCTCAACTTCTGACTGCCGTTTTGCCCATAACTAGGCGTTCTTATAACCAGTTGGTTCTGTTCGACTGAAATTTTTACAAGCTTCAACAAACATTGAACCGCTTTATCGTATAA